TTAAGGCAGCACTTCATGGTGCTGCTCAATTGATATATATATATATAATTCACAAAGACAGAGCTTGCGAATCCTCTGGCATAGGGTTTAAGCTCATAGGCTTCAGAATCGAGGAAGTCTGAGTTCATGTCTTCAGAGCTAAATGGCTTGAAGAGTGTACTCAATTCTGTCCACTGCAATAATAGAGCATCACAGATTTCTCGGCATAAAAGATTACAAAGTTGTTACCATGCACGTTAGAAAGCTTGGAGTCTCAACCGAACCTTCAGGGATACAGTCCTTCTGGGTGGCCTGAAACGGAACCAGAGAACTGGAAAACCCATATTCCTTGGTTTGTGGCTCTTCCTGCCCATTTTGAGAGCCTGCAGCTCAGTGTCTTTAACTTCTGACCTTCTGCCTCTCTCTTATAAAAGACTTGTCATTCAGTGGACCACCTCCTGTAGTAGGATGGATCTCTGCGCCTCAAGATTCTCAGCTCACATCTGTAGACTCTCAAGGGCTAACATGATGGCGCACAAGCAATCAGATACCACAGTAGCTCAGGTTCAGAAAAATCCTGTTACTATGCATGACTGTTATGGGTGTAACCAACCAGGTTCTAACTGCATCTGAGGTACTATCACAGGATGGCATTCATTCGTGTTGTGAAAACATGGTCATGGGCTCTAGGTAGAAACCTACTACTGTCTTGCTAGATGGATACGGTGTCAAACTACCTTCTAAACATTTATTTTTATGCTCATAGGTTAGCGCTTCAAGAATCAGAGAATACGATCTTATCAGAGAAGCTTCTGTTTGCAATAGGTGATGGCTAATGCAGTCATGACTAGACAATAGTCACTGAGCATACGGATGGTTGCGTGCTCCTCTCTAAGTGGGGAACGTGTTTCAATCTCTACAAGGCTCAGGGAACATAATGGATGAGGAGGGAGAAAATACACAAGAGCCAGATTATGGGGATGGGTATTGTCAAATGCTGTCTTCTCTTGATTATATTCATGAACTCACAGTAACTGTGATCATCTGATTCCATTATGGATAGAGACGAGGATCGTGAAGCCCCAACCCTCCCCTGGGGAGCAAGGGAGGGAGGGAGGGAGGGAGGGAGGGAGAGAAAGAGAGAGAGAGAGAGAGTTATATTCTTCAGCGGAAAGAATAAAGTATTCAGCGAGAGTGGGAAATGGGTATACATGGGAACAGGAAAATGAAAATGACCCAGCTATGTACAAATCTATGTACAAAATTACCAAAGAATCCAGGGGTGGAGGGATGGCTTAGTGGTTAAGACCACTGCCTGCTTTCCCAGAGGACCTGAGTTCAAGTCCCAGCATCCACATGGCAACTCATCACTGTCTATAATTCCTGATCCAGGCAATCTAATACCCTCACAAAGACACACATGCAGGCAAAATTTGTGAACACCAACGCCCATAAAATGAAAATAAATAGATTTTTAAAAAGTCACTGGGGTGACCCCAAGAACAATGCCATGGGTGCTGGGCAGAGAACTGGTAAGGGAGAGCATTGCTGGGATGTAGGATGCAGGAGAAAGACTTGTCTCAACTCTGGTGAGAGCACAGAGTCGAGCAAGCTCAGCTTAGGAGGAAGCAAATCTCCAGAAAGCATTCTCCATGCCTGCAAAGGGGTAGGAAACAGGCATTGGATGAAGGTGGTCTCAGCTGATACCACAGATGCTTACAAGTGCACTGGACCTCTCATTGCTAGAACAGCTGGGATTTTATCATCTCCTGCTGAAGGTCTCCCAACTCACCCACTCCTCCCCTGAGCTATGTATATCTCCTGGGTGACTACCACTGCGGTTGTTGTTGATGAGGGTGACCCCTGAGGTGGGGAGCTCTGGCTTGGACATCTCCTGGGATTTTGGCTTGCTTATTCTTGTGTTGGTCTTGTGCAGGCAATGAAAGTCACTGCGAGTTCACGAGCGCAGTGGATCTGATATGTCCAGAGGAGACTTTCACAGATGCTCCCTGTAACCTTTGGTTCTTAGAATCTTTCTGCTCCCGTTTCTGCACTGTTTCCTGAACGCTGTGTAGAAGAGGTATGATAAAGATGTCTCTATAGGGATGAGCACGTCAGTTACTTAACCTCTGCACTCTGACCAGCTGTGTTCTGTATTCATTGCCATTTATTGCAAAATGGAGCTTCTCTGTTGAGAGTTAGGAACTAACTGCACTAGTCATCTGTCGGTGCTGGGAGTTAGACAACGTTCCATCTTTTTAACACAATAGATGTGTGTGCCATATTTCTTATAGAGTCATACTAAGTTATCTTATACTTTGGAGTATAGGTCTATGCTGGGTATCATTTGGGAGCCATCAGTAAATAGGGCATAATAGAAAGTCAGGCGTCTATAGGAATCAGCTCACACGAGAGCTTTAGCACAAGAAAGCTGAAGCAGCTTTGATGAGTGAGAACTGAGTTATATAAATGTCTCGTCACCGTGCCTGGCACATGGTCAAATCTCAATATATCATTGTTTCCATAGCAGCATCAACCCTTCCTCATTGGTTAGAAAAGATGGACTGGCACAAAGATAAGTGGTAGCAGTGAGTCCACAGCCAGGGACATCAGAACATGGCGTTTCTTCCTCCCCCTGGGGAGGCTAGAGTGTGTCTCTGATAGAACAGTCTCTGAGTTAGGAAGAGGCTCTCTCCACAGGAGCTTCTGCAGAGAAAGTCACCCACAGCTCGAGTTGTCCCTCATCTTCTGACCCTTCAATCCTCTTAGCTCTCCCTTCACGGTAGGCTCGAGTCCAATGAGTTCTAACAATTTTTATTTTTTTTTCATTTTTTTATTTTTTTATTTTTTTTTATTTTTTTGTCTAGGGGACTTAGAGGTCTCTTAGCTGATCTCCTTGCTCTTCTGTCCTGGCTAAGAAGTGACAGCTCGTTAAAAAATTGTAAACAAAACCATCTTGCTCCTCTGCTCCAGTATCTCCAGAGGCCAGTCAACTTACATGGAATGAGGCAATCCAGGATAGGAGTTTTTGAGAATCATAATCTGGTCTGCTGTCTTCCACCACCTTCTCTTCCCGCCCCAGGCTCCTCCCATCGTGCCCCGCCCAGGACTCCCCCATCATGCCCCACCCCGGGCACCTCCCATCATGCCCGTTCACTGTGTTCCTACCACACTGGCCCCAACTATACGCACCCGTGCCTGTTGCCAGGCCTCTGTTCTTCCTGCTTCACCAGCCTGAAGTAATCCTGCTAGCGTGGCACTCCACCTCACTTCCTTCCCTCCCTCAGGTCTGCACAGGTCAGTATACCTGCGTGGGTTAGTCTTATGTCAACCTGACGCAAGCTAGAGTTATCTGAAGAGAGGGAACCTTAATTGACAAAAATGTCTCCATAAGGTCCAGCTGTAGAGCATTTACTTAAGTAGTGATTGATGGGGGAGAGCCAGCCAGCCCACTGTAGGTGGGGCCATCCCTGGGGTCGTGGGCCTGTGTTCTATAAGAAAGCAGGCTGAGTAGGCCAGAGGGAGCTAGCCAGTAAGCAACACCCTCCATGGCCTCTGCATCAGCTCCTGCCTCCAGGTTCCTGTCCTATTTGAGTTCCTGTGCTTTCGTCTTTCAATGCTGAACAGTGCTGTGGAAGTGTGAGCCAAATAAACCTCCCCCACACCCCCACCCCCGAAGTTTCTTTGGTCATGGTATATCATCACAGCAGAATTAACCCAAAGACAACACTTCCTCTCTAGTGTCTACAAAACCTCAGTTTATAGACGTCCCCTACCCTTATGTGCTCATGCAACTCTGGTCCATATTTATCCACAGTGAATATTTCTTTCAGATAATATGAAGAAATTATAACTTCGTATAATAGTAATAACTTCAAGTAATAAATTAAAACTTGAAGATAGCATCATTCTGATCATGCTGAGTGATTCCAAAATAGCTCTTGAAACACAAGGTCATTATATGCAAAAATGTCTCATTCCTGTCTCCTAGTAAGACATACACTTTATTGAGGTAAAATAATGATTTTATTTCTATTTTATTCATTTAATTTAATTTTGAGACGGGGTATCCCTGCGTAATTCAGTGTGTCCTGCAGCTTGCTATCCTGCCTCAGCCTTCTAAGACAGATGGGGTTATAAGTGTGTGACTTTCTTGACTATATAGGAAATAACATAAAAGTCCATTCTGGTTTCTTGGAGGGCCAGAAAGTACAGTAGAGATTTGATTCATAAGGAGAAATCTCTAGGTCAGATGAAGGTAACGTTTAGCGTAGAATAGCTGTACATATCTGAGTCTCGTGGATGGCCAAAGTAATAAATTAAAACTTGTAATGAGATAGGATCATTTCTGATTATACTGAGTGATTCCAAAGTAGTCCTCAAAGCTCATTCCTTGTGGGCATTAAGTTCTCAAAGCACCTCCATTAACTTTTGCTCCCTGTTTTTGGATAGCTGTTGTTGTCAATGCCTACACAAGATAGGGAGCTATCATGGGCCCCTACTGCTGTTTAAATTGCAGGTCCCAGCAGAAACTGATATTGCACTCATACACAGTCTGAGATTCATGGTTTCGGGCTGAGCCGTGTCAGTTTTCTGTCGGCAAACTTTAGCTCTAGAGTCAGATGTCCTCCAAAGTATTTTCTCTGACTTCCACGCCCTCACTGAACAAGCCACCCTTCCCCTGATCGGGACAGGCAAAAGACATACAGATCTCAACTGCCAGGGTCTGGCTCGCACTTTAAAACTTCTGTACTAATTGAAACTCTGCTGAGCTTGGCAGGGCTCCTTGTTTCAATTGTTGGTGAAGATTTTGAGCCTTTTCCCTCTCTCCTGGTTTCAGCGTCTGGAAAGAAGAGAGACAGTTTGTAAAGACACTGTGCCGTCTGGGATGTAAAGAGGGAAGCCTGTAGCCAGCTATCTCTAAACACAGCTTTGAAATGCATTCCAGCATCCGGAGCCAGATATTTGGCAATGCAACTGTTAATGTTCTGTGGTTTTTCCTCCCTGGGATCAATGTGACGTCACCAGTGTAATTTGAGTCCTGAGCTTTGTTCACACTTTAAATACCAGTCCCGGGATGATTTTACAACAGACTCCCTGGAAGTGCCCAAGCTGAGCTGTGGAAGACACACATCGATGAAAGCAAAGCAAAGCCACCAAGCCACCAGCATGTCCTCGTCTCTTCGAGTAAGCCCGTCCATCCACGGCTACCACTTCGACACAGCTGCTCGCAAGAAAGCTGTAGGCAACATCTTTGAAAACATAGACCAAGAGTCCCTGCAGAGGCTCTTCAGAAACTCCGGAGACAAGAAGGCAGAGGAGCGGGCCAAGATCATTTTTGCCATCGACCAAGATCTGGAGGAGAAAACTCGAGCCCTCATGGCCCTGAAGAAGAGGACAAAAGACAAGCTTCTTCAGTTTCTCAAACTGCGGAAATATTCTATCAAGGTACACTGAGCATAGCAGGCTGAGTAAGGAGCTTCTCCACCAATGGACCTTTAAAGACCCAGTGAGCCTGCCAGCCCTGGCAGGGGCCGCGTCCCGCGCAAAGGCTTGAGAGCCTCCTCCGACAGGACCCTGAGGATGGAAAGGGACATAACTCGCCAGCTACATAGACTTCCAACTCATTGCAGCTCTGAGCTGTCCCACTGAGTGCAAAGTGCCTTCAGCAGGCGTTGAGAACTCTCGCAGCAGGAAAGGACCGACATAGCCCGAGAGGATGGAGTCACAGACTAGAACATGGCATTTGTGGGGACTGAGTGCATGCACCCAAGGGCGTCCGCACCTTGCCCTAAGACTAAACTCAAACCTAACTTGGTTTTTGTTCTTGTTCTTGTTTGGTTTGTTATTTTGTTTTCTTTCTTTTCTGTTTTTGAAAAATATCGAAGTGGGTAGGGAGAGGGAGGAAAGAGAAGGAATATGAAGCATAAATGGTTTACTGAAGTTTTGTTTTTTTTTAATCTGAAAGTTTTAAAGTGTGGTTAAATCTCCGTGCTGTTTATTGGTCAGAGATCAGTAATTGACTGCTTGCCTTTAATACAATGCCTAAGACAGTGCACCCCCTGGTGTTAACGTCAAAGAACTGGATATCTTGCCTAGCCCAGTAAAACCCACACCTTTCTCTATGTTTCTAGAGGATTTGTACACATATAAATCTGGACTGTGAACAATTTTCTAATGTTTTCTTTTTACTCTCTGACTAATGCTAAAATATAATCTAATTGAATGGCCTACAGACACTGTAGCAAGCATTAGGAAATGAATATGAATGATTTTGGAAGGATGCTATGGATACTTTTTATAATTTATTATACATTGTAAGTGATACATAGCCCTAATAAATTATTATCAACTTAGCTTCTCTTGCTCTGTGATGATCGATCCCAAGGGAAAAATATAGGATGGTAAATTTTGATCGTTGTAAACTTTTCTAGGGGTAGACTCTAAATCTTTCAGAGCAGCTTTATGCTGATTGCCAAACTTTTCCAAAACAAATTATTGCACCAACTGTCTAGAGAACTTTCTCTCCCCATTTTAAACTTCATGGAGTAGATATAGTTGCCCACAGAGTAATTTGGCAACATTACTTCTATGTAACCATATCTATCTTCATGTTTGTAAAATTTCTCCTCTGTCACTACAGCAGATATGTACTCATTTATTTCTTCCCAAACAGTATGTTTTGAAGTTAAAGTGAATTATGATAAAGTTTCTGTGGGTTACTATAATATTACTATCTCTTTCCTTACTCTAGCATAATTTATAATAAAGCATTTCTAAAGAGGCATGAGCCAGTGCCCACTGTGCTTTCTTAACAGGAAGGCAAAAAAAAAAAGTTTCCAAAAATTCAGCAAACCTACTGAGTTTTCTTTTTAAAATGCTGGATATGCTATATCAAAACAAATGAGCTATCTGAAACCTTTCAGGAGGCTTAAAAGCCAGATTTTTTTTTTAATTTTTCAAATTAATGAAATTATTTACTTTACATCCCAATCCCAGTTTACCTCCCTCCTCTCCTCCCAACCCCTCCCCCCTTCCACCCCTTCTCACTAAAAGGGAAAAGGCCAGAATTTTAAATACAAAAATTATAAAAAGAAAAGAAGATGGTTTAAAAAATCCATATTTAGCTATTAAGTATTAAGTTGTTGAAGGTCATTAAAAATTAATCCATGGGACACTTATCTAAGCATGTAGGTTAGAATTAGATCACTGACCAGCTGTAGAAGACCCTGAGTTTCAGTCCCTGGAAATAAAAAAGGGGGGAGGGGGAGCTATTCTGGAAGTGTGTGTGTGTGTGTGTGTTCGAATGTTGTGATGTGTTTGTGAGTATGTGCATGTGATATATGTGCAAGTGTGTGTGTGAGCATATGTGATGTGTGTGTGTGAATATATGTTTGAGTGTGTGCATGTGTGTATGTGTGTGATATGTATGTGTCTATGTGTATGATATGTGTGTGTCTATGTGTGTGATGTGTTTATGAGTGTGCATGTGTGTACATGTGTGTGTGTGTGAGAGAGAAATGCCCATGTGCATTATCTGGGAGGATTATTCATAATCTTCATTAGATTTTCAGAGACAGCCATGACACCAAAAAAAGTTAAGACTCATAGAGGCAGCCTTCAGAGGGGATAGTCACTTGGACAGAATATGCTCAGGAAAGTAGAGGCTGTGGAGAAGTCCTCTGTTTTGTTCTCCTGGCTCTCGATCTGATGCACAATGAGCTAGCTAACTGCTGTCTGTGTGTGCTCAGAATAAGTGTCCTAGTCCTTATGGGAACCATCATGGGAAATCTTTAAGTTGCACTTCATTCAAAGACAGAGCTGAGCATGGCTGCTTATGCCTGAAATCCTACCACTCAGGAGGAATAGGCAGGAGGATTGTGAACTCGAGGCCAGCAACAGTCACTTGGTAGAATCATGTCCTAAAGATCAATTACTCCCTCCCTCCCTCCATGCATTCCAATGAAGGAAGCACATCTCGGATGCCGAACTTAGGTTTAATTCCCTGCATGCACTCAGAACTCTGTATTCTGTTGCTGCTCCTTTCAGTAGAGTGCAGCGTGTCTGTCTTCATCAGCACATGAGGGAGAAAAAAAAACGAAAACTCCTCCGGTCGGTTGTTACAAGCTCTCTCCCCTCTTTTGGGAAGAACAGAGTGGAATCGATGTGATTGCACAGGATGATTTTTAACTGCATAATAAACACTAGTAATGCCAGATAAAAATAGGCGTTATCAGGAAAGAAGAGCCATGGGGTCAGAGAGATGGCTCAGCAGTTAAGAGCACACGCTGTTCTTAACAGAGGACTGTTTTTTTGGTTCCAAGTACACATAATTGTGTGACACGGAACTACCTGTAATTCTAGGGATCTGATACTTCTCACCTCAGCAGGCATCCGTACCCACTTGTACAACCCCCGCGCGGACCCACACATATACAAAATCGAAAATAAAATTTAAACGACGTAAAGGAGGATTGTTTCAGCTCTGAGTTCTATTTCTGACACAAGGAGGGCCATATCGACTGTAAGGACTTACTGTAATAAGAGCTTATAAAAGGGTAAAGGGTTTAGTAGGTCATTAACCTGATCACCTCACTGGGATCATAGTAATCACTAGCTTTTGCTGACGTATGAGGTACTGATGGCCAGATAATTCTGTAAACGTTGTGTGATGTAGGAGATAAGAGAGCGTGTGTCTGCAGCGATGGATCTCCATGCACATAGGGCTATAAGCTTCAACAACTGGAGAAACTTGCTGATGACGTACAACTTAGGAAGGACGGCCTTTGTGCCCTTGGACAGCAGCTTTGACTCTGTCACCAGGAGAGATCAAGCTTCCCTCATCCTCTATAGTTACTGACTCACTAATCAACTGAAAAGATGGGCGCACATGGCTTCTGTCGGTCACTTTGTCTCACCTGTCTGTCTGCTTACTATGGTGAGCATGTCCTAGTTAAGCATTTTGGTGGTACTGTGCATCTAAGGCAGTACCATGTTCACAGCTTGGAGTCAAGGCCCCGCCTCACGTCTCTTCCAGGCAATGAGAGGCCTTTGGTCTGGTTTTCTTTTGGGGGCATGTCTGAAAGAGCAGGCTGTTCCATTCCCTCAGCTTGCTACCTGCTCCCAGCAAGTGGAGGATTCTGCAGCATATGGGATTGATTGAGAAAGGTCTAGGTTGTGTGTCTAGCTACACATTCTTCCATTGTCATGGGTGATTTGAATGTCATTGACATTTCCCTGAAAAGTTGGATCTGCTAACTTAAAAGAGAGGCCACTTGCCTTGGGGCCTCTAGGTCCTTGCAGGGCACACCAGGGATCTTTCTGCTTGTGCAGACATTCCCAGCATGGCCTAGGTTTTAAATGACCCTTGGTGCATGGGGAGCTGGTGAGAGGGGAGGTGCTGAATTTGTACCTGATGCAGTCCCCCAGCAAAACGTAGGAGGTGCATAGAAATGTGGGCCAAGGCCAAAAAAGACACTGCTTCCTGTTAGAGGATTGACAAAGGCTTTGACACAAACAGGAGGCAGACATTTGAACAGCAGAAGCCATGGTTGTAACTGTGCACACTTGTTTGTGTGTCTGGGCATGCATTTGTGTGTATAAATGCACACATCTTCCCTGTGTGTGTCCCTGTGTATGCAGAAGTCTTGGTAGTCTATATTTGTATGTGAGCCTGCATATATCTGAGTGTCTGTGTCTGTGAGTGTATGTGTGTGGTGTTGTGTATGTGCATCTAGATGTGTGCACCTATGTGTCTGAATGTATATCAAATGTGTGGCTGTGTGTCTTACGGCTGTATATGTGATGTGTGTGTGTGTCCATATGACTGTGTGAGAAAGTATAGTCACATGTGTATCATCTGTGTTTGTGTGATACATGTATATGTATCTGGGTATATGCATATAGGTATATCTGTGCGTGCATGTATCCTTGTGGATATGTGAGAATGTATATTCATGTATGTTTCCATGTATGTATCTGTGTTCCTGTGTATGTATGTGTGTGGACCTAGGTGAGCACTCATGAGTGTGTGAATGTGTCTGCATATGCTTGTGTCTCTGTGTCTGTGTGAGGTTGTATATTTATGTATGTTCTTGTGTCATGTGTATATGTCTGGGTGAGTGCATGTGTGTGTGTGTGTGCATGAATGTATGTTCGTGTGTATATCCTATAGCTATGTGAGCATGTATGTCTCTTTGCATCTCTGTATGTGCTGAGGATTAGCACGTAGTCCTAACCCGGGAGATGCTTCAAGATTCCTTGGAATAGTAACAGACAAAAGGGAAACCCTTTTTGCTGGCTTGTGGGTGTATCGTTCACAAAGGCAGAAGCGAGTGAATCGTGTCTGAGTCTCCCATCGATTGTGACCCGGGGACCTAACCAATAAAGAGTATCAATTAGAAGATGACTGAGCCCTTAAGGACAAGTAGGATTGATTTGTCCTGAAAGCAACAGAGAAGCACTGGTGACTTTACATAGGCCAGTAACACTTGCCACCCAGCTGTGCACATCTGGCCCTGTAAAATGACTTGTGAGAGAGCAGCTGAAGTCACAGCTCACACAGATGCCTCTGGAACCCCTTTTCATTGTGCCACAGAGGGAAAAGGCATTCGGGGACCTTTACTTAGTGACATTGAACTGCTACATGGCAGCTCCTCATGACCCAGAAGAAGAAAAGACTGTCGTGAGATGGGAAAGTGGCAATCTTCCACACTGCCCAGTTAAAACCTTAAGCTCTGTGATTGTGCTTAGATCATCCGGTTCTAGACAGATGGAGTGTCTGTCACAGGCCCACTAAAACAACTCCACTTCAGTGTGAACACGTATGGCCCATAGATACAGTTCAGAAACCTGCTAGCAAAATTACCTTACAGAATTTTGGCAATAAACATCACGCTCCCGTAAGCTATTGTGGAGTTTAGCAGAAGCAGGCTTTTCCTGTAGCAACTTTCCCACTACATGCTCCAACAAACCCTGCAAACAGGGCAAACACCCCACACCCACACTCTAGGCTTTGTGTCCTCACCTGTGAACAGTAGCAGTACACAAACACCACCAGACTGAGACAGGAATTCAGGGGAGGAAGAATTCCCAATCCTTCTTTGGGCAAATTCCTTCCTTACTGTTGTCTGTGTCTGGATGACTTCTACCCCGTTTTATTCTCAAAGTCCTCCCCAAGGGCAGTGGTGAATTAACTGTACCTGCCTGGCCTCCCATGATCACTGGCATTCCTCCAAAAGTAGGAATTTCTCTTAAACAAAACAAAAACCCCAGTGAAAGGTTTTGATCATTAGCAATGCACGCCAGAGGCACAAGGTGAGGGAAGAGGCCTTGTGTAGGGTCACCTGTGCTTTCA